GGGGCCGGGGCGCCAGGCGTGGGTGCGGTGGGCACGGCACAAGGGTTTCAGTACCGTCTTCTGAGCCGTATAGGGCAGCGCCTTTCCCGCGCGCGTTTATGGCACACCCCTCCCCAGACCCTACGGTAACGGCTCTGGCAGCAGGGCCCTGCCCTCCGGTAGGGTTGGCTGCGGGGCGAGCGGCCCGGGAAGCGTGAGCGCTCCCTGTGCGGGGTGTGAACAGCCAGGGCTACAGCAGCTCTCACGCGCGTGTTGCGAAGGGTTGTTCTGGTCCAGAGGAGACCTTTTCTTCCAGCGGGCAGCTGTGAGGCTTGGGCAGTGTGCCTGGAACTGCAGCTGAAAGTTACAGCCTGGACAAGTTTCCCTGTTCTGTGGTGAGCTGGAGGTTTCTCTCTGCACAGCTGATCACCTGAGGGAAGTTGTACAGGCACTGGCAGAACTGTACTGCTGATTCTTTAGAGGCACCAATAAACGTAATCCTTGAGCAAACGTGGCAAGAAGCTCCAGGTTTCTCATCAGTGTTGTTAGCAGGACTCGAGCATTGACTGATGCAAATTCGTTTTTCTCTAAGTGCAAGCCAGCACGCTGACTGAGTGAAGCCTGGTGTCATTTTTAATGCCATGATGTGATGGGGATGCATTTCTGAAGAGTGCAGGAAGCAATTAAATAGATTTACCTCCAAAGCTTTAAAAAAACCTCCACATTTTTTTCTTAAACCTTGTGCCATGTTTATGAATAGTTGAAAATACCAAAGAAAATACTGTTTCAGTAAAACAAAATGTAGTAACTCCTTTAAACATCTGAACCTGAATCTTCTATGATAATACTCTTTTTCTTAAAGCAGCAATGTAAGTGGCATCTGCATCACTCGTTTGGTGTTTGTCTGGATGTCCTCAGCTGTTGGAGGGCAGATGGAGAACTAAAATCTTGGCAATGTATTATGTTCACCTTTGGAAGGAACGCTGTGCTTGATGTATTTGCTTGATGCTTTTCCAGAGCTTGCTTATCTCCTGTAGTTGTCTGGGTACTCATACTGCTGAAGTATTCTGCCATAAAAATGTGATTTCATCACTGAAATATTATTTGTGCCACTTCATTTGTACAAGGCCAGATAATTACTTACAGAAACTGTCAAGCAATTCATGCTGTAAAGGTGACCTTTTTCTCTTGTCCGTAGAAAGGTTATGGATGTGAGAATTGCAATTACTTTCTAGATGATATGGAGAAGGTTTATTCTGTGGCATACGTTCAGAGAACAGTAGCTCTCTAGTTGAAATGATGATTTCTCTATTACCAGATTACTAATGTTTATGCTAATATGCTACTAACACTGCTCTGGAGAGCCACCTTTCCCAGCATACAAGTGAATGGCTGACAAAGAATACATAATTTATCATGCCACCTGTCTGGAGATTTATCAAACTACCTGAGAAGTAGTTCATGTTTATGATGATTTTGTGATTTTCATGAGGCACCAAATTAGGGTTCATCGAGCATGCAAGTGTGCCTCATTAATTTGTCAAAGATTTCTCATGGAAGGAAATGTTAAAAGTTTCAAACTGTTGCATTTCTTCTTTTTTAAACAACATTCTTTCTGTATGTAATGAGGGCACTTTGCCATATAGGACCCACATTTACATTGTCAAGTAGTCTCAATTCACCAGTATTGCAGCACAACTTTTTCCATCACACTGTAGATGTATTTGCAACATAATTTACAAATTTTTTTACAATTAAAATTTCATTTTTCTTAATAAATGAATGAATAATTCTTGTATTTCTAGATGTTCATGGTTTTTAATGTCATCTATATTTAACTTGACTTTCCCTTCTTCTCTTTCCTTTTCAGTCTTGCTCCATGGGTACCAGTTGTGGGTCTGGAAATTCATGCACAGATCAGTTCCAACTCAAAACTTTTCTCTGGTTCCCAAGTCCAGTTTGCAGCACCTCCTAACTCTTTGGTATCTTTCTTTGATGCATCTTTACCAGGAACTTTACCAGTAAGTTAAGTTACAATTTAACATATATCAGGATTAATGTCAAGACAACTTTGATCGTGTTTCTAGTATTTTGTTGTTCATGGGATTCGACTATAGAGTTACTTTTACTTATTTTTCTAATTTCTGTTTGTTTGATAACATGAGATGCCTAGGACTGTTTCTTTTCAATTTACTCACTCCCTAGTTATTGCCACAGATACTTGATATCCTCTGCAAAGAAAAAAAAAAAAAGGAGTGTCTCCAACATACTGAATGAATGGCAGTACTTCTCTCAGGCCAGAGTGGGTGTATTTGGTTAGTATGCCACACAGGAAATTCCTCAAATATGAGAGATGCTTAAAGCCCTAGGAAAGAAGAACATCTTAGATTTCTGAGTGGCCGTTTGATGTTACTTTGCCATATGTTTGTTTATGGAGCTGTCATTTGCCATTTGGAATGTGTCACTATGGAGGTACTTTGCTTCCTAAGTAGAAAGTCTCCAATTTAGGAAAGTGTTAACCATTCCTATTTCCACAGCAAAGCAATTATTTAATAATTAAAATAGAAAAAAAAGTAATTGTGTGAGACACTGAGGATTAATAGGTCAGCATAGCTAGCTAGCACTTAGCAATGAGGTTTATTAGTGAAAACATAGTAAGGTTTTGAATTCACAGCTTAATTATAACTGTGATGGCTATGACAGTACTGCTGTAGAATTCTGTGAGAATCTAACAAGTTCAATGTAAAAATAATAGTTAAAGTATAACATAAGATCTTACTGTACAGTGAAAATAAATATTGAATAGACTCAGCATTGTCACATGCAACAAGCATGCAGAGACTATAATGGTGTCAAGGTACTTATTGCAGAAGTGTTTCACTGAGTATATTTATCAGAGTGGAAGTCTGAATTCCAGTTGCAGATACATGTGTTTAAATCTAGTGGAAGCTTTTCATCACCATAAAGCAGCCTTAAATGATAGTCTGAAATTGAGAATTAACTTATGGCTGAATTTCTAGGGTTTCAATATATGTCGTGTGATCCTTAAAAAGAGAAATGAATTGATATATTCATTCTGTATTTGCAAAGGTATTGAAAATTAAGGAAGTGAAGTTTAGATGCTGATAAAATTGGGACTTCACTGTAGTCGCAGTGGCAATTCAGGGCTGAGTTTCAGATCTAATCGTATATTTATCTTGAAAACTTTGCAGAGATAATGGGAATCTTATGCAATCATTTGGTTTTAGAAGAATTTAGTTAGACTTAAAGACAGAAAATTTGTTCCTTTCATTTGGAGCAGGTTTAGGTTAGGTAGTCACAAAATGTAAAAAAGTTCAAGATTCTGGTTTTAGACCTTCTACTTAACCTTCTGTTAATGCACAGAAATCCTCCTAAATTGTCTAATACTTATCCTCAGTCAAATAGAAAAACTGTTCTTGAGTGAACAAAAGTGAGTATTTATGAAGAGTTTAATTTTTCTGTATGTTACTATTTATTGAGGGTAGAGTGTGTGTGGCTTTTTCCTCCATTAAAGTGCTCTAAAATGAGGCTTGCTATGACCTTCTTGAGAAGACCCCAGTACATGTGGGCTTTGGTAGAGATTATAGCTGCACCTGAGAAGCGAAAAACAGGATGGTTAGGTTAACGTAGTTAAAGTAGTGATGTTATGTTAGATTCTACCAGCTGCTTTTATCTATACAAGGAGAAGAAATGTTTTTCCTACCGTAGTACTGGGGAAGATAGAGTTGAAAGTGGATATTACAAAATGTATGTTCTTGCATGTAGAATGTGATGCAAAATCCAGTCAGTCGTCATGGCTTTATTTTCCCATTGTACTTGCTGCACAGGAATTAGTGTTGGAGACTAGTGTTCTGGAATCAGTTGGGCTTGTTTTCTTGAAATAACTGTATGGAGATTTTTGCATGGCAGTAGTATCTGAAGCAGAATTTGATTTTAGTGAATTTTGTAAGATGTAATGTTGTTTTAAAAAATTCGAAGTATTTGTAAAAAAACTCCAAACCAACAAAAAGCATTTTAACAAATGGTATTAGGTTATTGCCTAGTAAGACTACTTGGAAGGTTTACCTTACCTTTGCCTTACTTACTTACTTACTTAATGCCTTACCTTTGGACTCTGTTTTGTTGAGAAATGAAAAAAATTGGAGCAAAGTTTTTATATAGTAGTTGAGCTGTCCCTAGCAGATAATAACTACTGTTTTAAATTGAGAACTATAGGGACAGTTTTCAGTGTCACAGGGATTTAAATTTACTGTGGGACCATGAGATGGTTAGAAGAGACAGCCATGCCAGTATTTACTGCTTCACAATGGGGCCAGAAATGATGGTGCTAAAGGGAGCTTTTTGGGCTGCTCTACATTTCTGGGTCACTAACGAGTGTGGGTGTGAGCCTTTGCCTATGCTCTGCACAGGAGAAACAAAACTAGAAGAATGTATTTAGCCCTCCTCTATCTTTCTTCTTTATATTTTCTTCCTATAATGTTAATACAGCTTATTTTATACTTCTGCAAGTAGGCCTTAGGAGGACCATCAGAGTGTTAGTGTCATGGCCATTTCACTATGCTGCTCTCATAATGTGCCTTTGAGAGACAGCTATGGGAAGAAGAGCTATGCAGGTGCACTTCTGTTTTTGGCATGAGGCAGAAAACGTCATTATAGAATCATGGGATGATTTGAATGGAGGGGAGCTAGGGGATCATCTAGTTCCAGCCTCCCTGCCATGGGCAGGGATGCCATCCACTAGATCAGGTGTCTTAGAGCCCCATCCAACCTGGCCTTCAGCACTTCCAGGAATGGGGCATCCACAACTTCTCTGGGCAACCTGTTCCAGTTCCTCACCACCCTCACAGTAACAAATTTGTTCCTAATATCTAATCTAAAGCAACTCTCTTTCAGTTTCAAGCTGTGTCCTTTCATTACAGGCCCTTGTAAAATGTCCTTTTCCAGCTCTCTTGTACACTTCCTTTAAGTACTGAAAGGCTGCTATAAGGTCTCCCTGGAGCCTTCTCTTTTCCAGGCTGAACAACCCCAGCTCTCTCAGCTTGTCTTCACAGGAGAAGTGCTCCAGCCATCTGATGACTCTGATGCCCCTCCTCTGGACCCATGACCTTCTTGTGTTGGGGGCCCCAGAGCTAGATGCAGTACTCCATGAGGAGTCTCACAAGGGCAGTGTAGAGCGGGAGAATCAACTCCCTTGTCCTCCAGGCCGCTCTGGTTTTGGTGCAGCCCAGAACATGGTTTGTTTTCTGGGCTACAAGTGCACATTACTGCGTCCTGTTGAGCTTCTTTTCAATTGACATTCCCAAGTCCTTTTCTTCAGGGTTGCTCTCAATCCATTCCCTGCCCTGCCTGTATTGGTGCTTAGGGTTGCCCCGACTCAGGTGCAGGACCTTGCACTTGGCCTTGTTGAACTTCATGAGGTTTGCAGCCTGTCCAGATCCTGCTGGATGGCATCCCTGCCCTTCAGCATGTCAACCACACAGCTTGGTGATGCTGGTGAAGTTGCTGAGGGTGCCCTGGATCCCACTGTCCATGTCACTGACAGAGATGTCAAACGATACTGACCCTGAAGAACACTACTCATCACTGGTCTCCACTTGGACATTGAGTCATTGACTGCAAGTCTTTGAGTTTTCTTTGCAGCCCAGGAAGCCAGCTGTATCCTGGGCTGCATCAAAAGGAGTGTGGCCAGCAGGTCAAGGGAGGTGATTCTCCCCCTGTACTCTGCTCTTGTGAGACCCCAGCTGGAGTATTGTGTACAGTTTTGGTGTCCCCAACATAAGAAGGATATGGAACTGTTGGGGCAAGTCCAGAGGAGAGCCACAAAGCTGATAAGAGGACTGGAGCACCTTCCCTACAAAGACAAGCTGGGAAAGTTGGGGCTATGCAGCCTGGAGAAGAGAAGGTTTCATGGAGACCTCATAGCAACTTTCCAGTATCTGAAGGGGGCCTGCAAGGAAGCTAGAGAGGATTTCTTTGTGAGAAACCATAGTGATAGAACAAGGACTAAGGGGTATAAATTGAAAGAGGGGAAATTTAGCTTACATATCAGGAAGTTTTTTAATGTGAGGGTGGTAAGACAGTGAAACAGGTTGCCCTGGCAGTGTTCAAGGCCAGGTTGGATAAAGCCTTGAGCATTCTAGTCTAGGGGAAGGTGTTCCTGCCCATGGCAGGGGGATTGGGATTAGATGGTCTGTATGGTCTATTCCAGCCCCTATGAAACTACTGTGAATGTGACCATCCAGGCAATTCCTTATCCACTCAGTGGTCCATCTGTCAAATTCACGTCTCTCCAGTTTAGAGACAAAATGTTGTGTGGGACAGCATCAGATGTTTTGCTCAGGTCTGAGGAGATGATGTTAGTTGCTCTTCCTTTATTCAGCAATGCTGCAACCCTTTCATAGAAGACCTCCCAATTTGTCAGGCACAATTTGCCCTTAGCGAAGTCACATTGGGTGTCACCAGTCACCTGACTATTTTCCATGTGCCTTAGCATAGTTTCCATCTGCTCCAAGACCTTGCTGGCCACTGAGGTGAGAATGACCAGCCAAAACTGACTGATGTGGCAAATCTTCGTTTAAAAAGGCAAATTTGGAAGTAGTGAGACTGAATGGCGCATCCCATGCTATTTGGCACGCTTTTTGTGCCCTGTGGTGATGGAAGCCACTCACCACTAGACTAGACAGCATCTTACTCAAATTACTACTAGGCTCTCCTTTCTTTCAGACTACATACAACTACATAAATTACATGTAATGAGATGTACAAAGGCCTCAGTTTTTTGCTTTGTGAATGGACTTGCTAATGATCACAGCCTGGTATCTTCAGAGGATCTGTTTTAAAGAAGGTGTTGTGCTATACATGGTAGCAGTAGTGCATCACACCTGCAGACTGAACTAAATTTCTTCTGAAGAGCCATAAAGGTGGTTGTGCTCCCAGTCTGATTTAGCCTCTTTGAAAATTCTGAGAGTCTTTATAAATGTTTTTAAAGCTAAGACTGGGC